CAGCATCAACTGAAGTTTTAGATCTCTATCTTTATTTTTAAAACCAATTTGACTTATTTGAATCTTCATTAGGTGTATCAGAATAAATTGGTAATCTGAGTGGTTGACGATCCTCTTCGATAAAATGAAGGTATCTTTGCAGTGTTTGTAAATATAACATCCATTTCTTTCGGTCTTCCGTCTTACTATTCATAATATTTTGCATTTCAATATCTAATCGAGATAAATTACTATTAACCTTATTTTCTTGTTTTAATTTTTCAATCAACCCAGGTTCGATAAGTATCATTTTCTTTGCATTTTCCATGTTAACTGGCTAGTCCACTCACTAATCCACTCAATATTGCACCTAATATTATTGGTAAGAAAGCCCCTCCTTTTTGTATAATTATATTTTTTCTTAGTTATGTTTACACTTACGCACTAGTTTACGGTAGTATATTTTTGCGTTTATTCAATTTTTGGTTATCTTGATCTTTAAGAGATACTTTTCCTTGTAAAACGTTATGAATACACTCACAAATACAGTTAATTTCTTCTTCATCACACGTTTTAAGTAATGTTCTTTGATATTTTGTTTTAAGCGTATGCAAAGCGTTTAGCAAATGTTTGTGCGTTGTGAGTAAACGATGCATCATTTAGCTATGATTTGAATTGTTTGATTCTTGGTGTATTTAAACTCTTTTGTGGGGACGTAGACTGTACAGAAACCATTAAATGGGAAGACATTTGTTTTGATACGACAAAAATCATGTTATATTGTATTCTGTTTTAAATCTACCATTAAATATCCATGCGCCTCTAGAGTTGCATCCCTGTAGGCATCTTCAATGAATTTTGGGTTATCTGGTGACACTTGTCGTGCTAAATATCTTATTTGAGTTTTATCTCGAGGGTTTTTAAAATATATTATATAACTTGAGTTTAAAGATATGTCTCTTTGCCCTTTACCCTGATGAAATAAATTTTGTGTTAAATAAAATACACTGAGATTCCTGTGATGACTACCTTTTGTAAATATATCTACAATTCTTCCATCGGACTCTCTCATTAGATCATCAATAATAACAAGATGTGGGTTTTCACCATCAAACATAGTAAGATTTGGAATTCCTTGGCGATAGTTAACATTTGGTAAATTATGTAAAGATTGCATTTCATCAAAGCACCATGTGATCTGATTAAAATCACAATTACATATTTCTGTAACTAATTTTATTAAATTTGTTACAAAATTTGACTTCCCACATCCACTTGGTCCTGCCACAATAGCAGTAAACGGATGTATGAAGTGAAACATTACACACTTCTAAAGTTCTAAGGGTTGAAATAAAAAATGAAAGTGATATATATATATATATATATATATATATATATATATATATATATATATATTAATTGTTTACCTACATACTATAACTAATGTTTTTGGGAAATCAAACAAAATTTATGATTAATTTTATTTTCAAGCAATAACCACTTGTAAAAAACCCACACTTCATCATAAGAACAATGTAAAATTTTGTGATTATTTTTTGCAAATATATGATTATTACACACATAACGTTTGTTTAAATTTATGACATTTACCAAATCATTGTATTTTGGACATTTGTATTCTTCAATATTAAAAGTTCTATCATTCGTCGTTAACATTTCTATAAATTGTTTTGCAATAAATTGTGTTGGCAACAAATAATTAAAAGGATAACTTGGCCGAAACAAATAATGATCGATAAACGCATAATTTTTATTAGATAGTTTTACATCTAGAATAGCCATTTCTCTACATTGAAAATGTTTATGAGGATATGTAATGCAAAATCCGTCCATGTCGATCATGTATCTAATATTTTTTTAGATTTTGTGTCATTTTGAACCAAAAAGTTAAAAGTATTTACACGTGACTAAAAATATGTTTGTTCCAACAAACTTCACATAACAATGCTTCATTACTTCCCATCATCCCATCCTTTCCTTCTGCTCTTGTCTTCCTGTAATTTAAGTAAACAGAATCACATTCACTAATGATCAACTAATGACTGTCATTGTTAAAAAAGTATTTTTTAACTTTTTCACTTTCTGCTATTGTCTTTGTATTCAGGGCTAGGAAATGTCAATGCTTGTTAGCGAACTTCACATGCCTTCGAAATTTTCTCAGACATGCAGGTTTCCTCAGGATGTTTTCCTTCACCGCTGAGCACGTGGTAACACAGCGCTTAAAATTACAATTAACAATTTAATTGGTGCCGGCGGGGATTGAACCCGGGTCACGCTGTGAAATTTACAGCTTGCGCTAACCATCTGAGTTACCACGGCTTAATCATATACACACATAATATTTAAATATAATTTGTTAACACTAAATCATACACACGTAAGAAAATAACAGAAAGAAAAGTAAGTTTGTCAATAGAATAAACACTTACATCCATGGCCTTTGATGCGTTGAAGTAACACAAATGTAGTATTGATAGATCCACTGCGGTCAAACGACCATACACTAACTCCATGACTGCAGCTGCTCGGTCTTATATAGTACCAGTAAGTAATAATTCTAATCTAAAGAATTTCTGCAGTGGAACTGGTAGTACGAGTAACTTTATGCGTCAACAAGCTTATCTCACATTATGTTGCTTATCTCAACAATCCTTCGTGTTACGTCTTGTTAAGGTTATTGATGACTCAAATACTAATTATAGATTTGTATAACTCAAAAGAATGCAATTTAATATTTAGAAATCACTATAATTGATCATTACTATGTTAGTCATTGAGTAGATTGGTACTGTAATAATCTACTAATAGCAGTAATATCATGGATACACTAGATGTATAACAACATCTGAAAAAGATTCACCCAGTCTAGAAAATAATGTTTATGCTGCTCATAGACTGCCCATGTATACCCACGTACCAACGTATATAATATGCAATTTGGATACAGATGATAAACCAGGGTCACATTGGGTAGCTTTATATATCGATACGAATGACGTCGGTCAATATTTTGATTCATATGGACGGTCACCTGTACGATATCATCTAGAGTTTTTAAAAAGGAATTGTAAAAGATGGAACTGGAATGTTGATAGTATTCAGAATGAGTGAACTTCAGTTTGTAGCGAATATTGCTTAATGTATTTGCTATATAAGTTTCAGGGATGTTCAATGCATAGTTTTACGAGTATATTTACAGGGAACACATTGTACAATTAGTGGATGAGGTGTTTCGCTCCTATTTTATAGACAATAAGTAAGATTTTGTATTTTGTAAATAAAAATTGTAACAAAATTAGGTAATGTGTTTTATTGATGATTCAGATTTGCGCTGTAGATAGGAACAAAGAAGTATAAAATACAATAGCACTGATAAGCCGACGCATACGCCGAGGAAAAATAGACAATGACAGTATTCAATGAACAATAGATAAATAGATAAGAACAATGGGGCGCTAATGTCGGTGGAGGCCCTCACCGGATATCAATTAGATAAGAGTTAATTGATCTGCACATCTCCGGAACCGTGCATCCTACGCAAAAACGGACCGCAGATTCGTGATCAGAGCATGCCAAAACCTTTTTTTTTAATGGTCGTGAGTCGACGAACGTTGTACCACTTCTGACTCAGTGAGCTAGAAGTGGTACTACCTATCTACTATTGTTGCTATGGGAAGGACAATCTTTTAATATTTTATTGTATTTTTTAATTTATGGTTGATTAGTTAAAATAACAGTAACGCAAAATGTATGAAAACTCGCTAAATACAGTAGCAAGGTTGAGATCAACGCACTCTCGAGATGAAATGCGATATGTCGCCGATGTTCGACTGCGACGCAGCTCTGCTGTCTCGAAACAGTCTTAGAGTTCATTAGACAAATACCAAGCACTAGTTATGGAGATGGCAAAAAGTATTTTGCGTCATTTCTCTGTTACTTGATTAATGATGAAGTATTTTTTCCATGATTACTTGTCGGAACGCTCTGTTAACCCGAGGCGCGGACGTTGACCGTGGTTACACTATTTGGGGATCGGTTTCCATGTGGATAGTCTCAGCTTCCTGCTACATGTTTAAATAAATTTCATTGTGATATCTTGTATGGAAATCTTGTTTATAAACATACATAAAATAAATAATTTTGAGTAATCTTCAAATGTCTAATTATGGTTCCTGTAATATTTTATTTGATTGGCTAACTCGACTTAAGTTGATGTTAAAATAACTGGGGGAGTCTGTCCGACCGAATTTAATTTAAGAGAACAAATAAGAAATTAGTGCAGATTAATCAAACCTAGAGATAAACTTATTTTTTTTAACATTTACATATTTCTATACTCTAAGTACCTAAACAAAGTATTTGTGTACTATGTTATTATAATATTTGTGTTATTATTAGCTAAAAAAGTTATCAGTTTTGCTTGAAAAAATAAAACTTTAAATTGAACTATAATAAAACTTGGGTTCAACTTGTCAAATTAATTGAGAATTTTAGAATTTAATGTTGACGAATTTTCTTCTTGTTTATTTTTAATATTCATTCTTATGTGTAGTCGATAGTGTTGTACTCCCATTTATTGCGAGATTTATATTTATACAGTCTTTAGTTTGAAAATTTATAAAAAGCTTATTGGAATTTGTCAAAGAAAGGTTGTTAGGATTCAGCCGTTTGTTTGCTCTTAATTAGTAGATAGAGACAGTTTCTCAAAATTGTCATAACAAACATTTGGTACTCGATATATATGTGATCGGCCTGTAAAGTAAATGAAGGTGCACAGGCTGCGTGTACCGCGTGTATGGGTATAGACGGCGCCGCGGTGAGCGGATATCGAGCACGCGGCGCGAGCGCGTCCAGTCTGAGTGTCGCCGCGCTGACAGACGCACGCGCGACTTGCACGCGCCATCACCAAACACGCCACCCCAAATAGATAACTGAACCTTTACCCCGCTATCGATTAAAACATAAACAAGATCGCCGCAGGGATGTCCGTTTGCATGTACCTATTTTGTCCTTGGTTCTTCCTCGTGGTGTACCTGGCGTTCCTTATGGTGGACGTGTGAGCGGCGCGCAGGCGCGTCGCTACGATCGATAGCTGCGGCGTGGTACGGCGCGGGTCGCGGGCCGCGGCAGGCTGGTGGCGCGCGGCGAGCTCGCGGCCGCACGCAGCTGGGATGCGCTGAGCCGGCCGCGCCGGCCGCCACGATCGCCCCGCACGCGCCGCGCCCGCGGCCTCGCGCCGCGCCCGCCATGAGCGCTGCCTCGCCGCGAGAACTCGCGCCCGACGTGCCGCTACCCCGCATCGAGCCCGACCTGGGCCTCAGCGACGCCACGCTCTTCGCCGTATACTGCTTCATTAAAAACTTTATCGGGTGAGTGCCCGTTTTTCAAACAGCGACCGGTTGCTGTCCGACATATTATAAGGTTTTGTGAAATTAAAATTTGGCAGCAGGTGTTTTCAGATTATAAGAAACGTTCATTAATTTCGTCCTTTATATATAATTATTTAAATTAAATATAATTATTTAAATTAAAATCAAATTATATATAATTATTTAAATTAAAATTTAACACTTTTGCAGTATTAAAGTCGTACTTGCAAACTGTAAGTTTTCTTGTATTAGATCTGTGTACTAGGTACCTAGCACTTTAATTTTTTCTTCATAATTACTTAAGAAGTTATCGTCTTCCTTTATATTCATAATAAATAGTATTGATGAGTATTAAAGTTATAGAAACGTATCGTTTAGTTTTAGAAATATATATTATTGTATTTTATGCAAGTAACAATATGCATTTAAGGGTGTACAATAAACTAGTTGTTTATTCTTATATTTAAAAAATGTCCAAAGTAGAAAACAAAAACACTTGATCGACATCAATGTGACAGCAGTAGATGTTTTAATGTTTTTTGTTTAATTGAACCGAGTCAATATGTTCTATATGAAGGCCGTATTTGGTATACAATTAACTCCCCGACCTACCAGTCTAGCAACATAAAGAAATTAACTTTGCAAGGCCAGAATGTGATAAATGAATGTCTTACATATTATTAAATAGGTGTTTTTGTGATCCATCAGATTAAGAAATATTTTGCTTCGCTCGGTCAAGGAGGTTGTGTTGCAATAAATCATAATTTATTATAATATGTAGGTGCAGTTAAATGGAGGTAACCATTTGAAAGCATAATAGTAACGCTACGATACAGCGTAGATACTATTGTGATCTTATTTGGCAGTACGAATGGTTCGGCTCGGTCGTACAAAAGACCGCGCTCACATAAAATACCACCATACCGTGATATAGCACCATGATGCTGTTGTTTTATGAATTTCAACTTTTTGTTTTCTGATGTTCCACGTATCAAGGCAAACAGTTTTCTTCAACTTTTATAATGCGCACAGCACAGAAGTGGAATAATTTTTCAGCGTCTTTCGGCGTTCATCGCCGTTTACAACCATGTGCAATTTTTGTCAAACAGTGGTTTATAATTAGTATAAAACCAGTGAACGGGTTTATATTTTATTTATATTTAATTGTGCAGCCTCAACGATATCCCTATCTACCAGAACAGAACTCAATCTACTCGGCGTATACCTTGCTAACAGAATTTACTAATGTCTACGCCACGTTCTTAACGTTTTAGAGAGTGTTGTAAACCGAAACCGCATTTAATTAGTCGACAATTAATGTAAATCATATGAATTTTAGACAAATTCGGATCATTTGTTTTGTTTCATTTGTTTGAAATTGGTTTGAAAATCGAAATATTTGTTTATGTAGACCAGTGGTTCTTAGCTGGTGGTCCATGGATTGACAATACCTGAAGGCACCGGTAGCGATCCGCGAAAGCATCATGCAATAGGATATACATACATATATCCTATATGGGATATACACCCATCTTCACAAAGTGTTTTAAATGAATCCTAGAGTGATAATGAACCACTATAATTTTTATATAATTTTATTAAAACCGAATAGTGCCATAAAAATTACTTTAAATGTATTGTTTTAAATTTTCGCGCGAAAACGCTAGCCGCCATACTATTCAACTCATGACTTCACTGTCCTAGAATTTTGCCGATTTTGCTAGGGAATAAGATACTTTTTAATGTTTAATAACGAGTTATCATCTATATTGTTGGGTTGTTATGCTGGAAAAGTTATGGATTCAAGTGCCAACTGATTTAAATTTATGAAATACTTGGTTAAAATTGGCAAGAAGATATCCGAATTACATTGTCTACAAAAACTAGACTATTCTTCTGAGAAGATCATTTCGATGTAAGTATGACTTATATTTAACTATGGTTTATACAAAATAAAACATCATCAGGTGAAGGGTATTGCAAGTCAAATTTTATAATAAATTACGTTAACTTAGATATTGTAACTAATGATTGCTAATGATTGTAATTATAGATAAACGAAACTATGATAGCTACTAAACTATGTTATATCAAAATACGCTTTGACCTGTATTGTATTTTTGTATAAATAAAAGTTGGTAATAGAACTTACATTGATGTTTTAACATTCCTCAACTCAGCAGAACAAAAATTGGGATTGCATGCAAAAATTTTTGCCACCATCATTTTATTTATCCTTGGTAGATTAGTACTTTCTGCTTTTACGAATTCGTCTTCCATGATGCCTTTTCAATAAAATTCGGCATAAAACTCAATAATCGTAATGATAACTTGAAAATTTCGAATTAACACAGCACATTAGCTAGTTAGCTCTTAATCAGTGATACAGAACACTAATTCCCTGAGGAGGGATCAGTGACGTCACGACAGTCTCTAATATGGCGGTCAGCGTTTTGTAGATTTGAGGAACAAACAAAAAATATATTTAAATAATACTAGTTTTTACGGATTCAATCGCGTTTATTTAACTTTTTAAATAGCCGACGTTTCGAGCGCTTTTTTAAATGTGTAGTGTTCGCGTAAATATCAGAAATCAAAAAATATATTCTTAAAATTGAAATATAAAGTTTATAATGCAATTTTATAAAAAGAAATCAATATTTCTCGTTTACAAAATCTATCATAAATATATATTTTTTCATTTTTTTTACATGGTGTAAAATACCCTATTCTCTTACATTTAAAAATATACATTTTTGGAGACAATGGTTGATGTACAGATACTGCTGCTACGGTTTACAATATAATGCGCTGCTGTATTAAATAAGGGCCGCACAATAACGCTGCAAAGTAATCATAGAGTAGAATAATGTTGACTTTAACTGTCGCATAATGACGACGACATAAAATCGTTACCCCTCCCGTTTAAGTACCCCGTTTAAGAATAATAAGCCAGGATGGATAAGGAATATCCTTTCTCCTTAGGGACATAAGTCGTACTGTCTACTGCCATCGTCTCTAAATTTTCCACATGGCTTTAAGGCCGAGGATACATTTATAAAAACAAGAGTCATTCGCATAACATCTTTAAGAGAACCGTGACGGAACAGCCTACTAGCACTTTTCTTAACATAAACTACGTGGAGCACAAACGCCGTGGTAATCAGAACCCATAAATCATTAGTAAGATACTCTTACAATTAACCACGCGGTTGTTATTTAAACTATAATATTTAATAATTCAATTCTAGTCTTTATAAGCAGGTTTCAAAAACAGTATATCGCCTGTATGTAAATTGCACACGTTAATTCTTATGCAAACGCATAAATACAGAGGTTCTTGCTGTTATAAAAATATAACAACCAAATTATTATTACATATTTATGATAAAATAGTCGTCTCTGTGTACGATATTTTGAAGATGGACCAAATTAAGAGCACTTTTAACCGACGAGAATATATGCGTAGATATAACATGGATGTGAAAGAAGCGAGAGAGATGTGTAAGGATCTTGCCAAATGGAAGTCCTGTAATTTCTGCTTACTCCTACGAGTGACATGTGTTAGAGTTTTGTATGTCTGTACTTACATATGTGGCTATTTTGTTCACGGTGTTGTCATGCGTATACTCTGCATATAAAGAATTTTAATATATATTAGGATTATCAATACCACATCGTTGAATCACAAACACAAATTGAATAAATTTAAAGTACTTAGTAACTGTTTTACTGTTTCATAAACTTCTTTGTTTATGCGCGTAACACCAAGTCAAGATAAATATGAAGCGATTACAATGACCGACTTGGCAGTGGCCGGTGTTTCTAGTTACTAACTAGTACAAGCACAATTAACGAACGCAGTATTCAGTTTAAAGATGGACGAATTATTTACTGGTAACATGAGCTGCCTTTACAGGGTTGTTTCAACGTATTTTAAACAGGTGCTAAATTTCGTTCTCTCTTAAAAATTGCAAGTGTCGCTGTTTATTTCATTTAAAAGTCGATGTTAAAATTTATTTTGAAAATATGTATAATTTGCTTAAGAATCATAGAAAGTTGACTGTTGAAATTAGTAATTTCAGATAACAAGCGATCGTTAATTTTCTACGTACAACCACAGTTTGACACTCCTCAAACGATGGCATGGTTTGCCTTAATCACAAAACTAGCTTACCAGGCAGACCTCGTTCTGCCCTTCTGGTCGCGATGAGTTTCGCTCTGTATTTTCTCTGGAGTTTTTTACTGTGCAGAGTATATAATTTCTGAATAATTGGAAATTTTGGGCCCTGATTCTGTTTTCTTCTGGTATTAAACCGAAGTATTATTGGGATAAGTTATTTTGGACCACAAATAAAGACTTTATTAATAAATTTACTTTAGCGTTGCTGTTAATAAATTTTCTTTAGCGTTGCCTATCAGATTCTAATATAGCTATGTAAATATGACATCAATAGATTTAAATAATAATACAAGTTTTTTCGGATTTTATCGTGTATATTAACTTTTTTATATACTCGACGTTTCGAGTACTTTACAGCACCCATGGTCAAGGGGATTGAGATGTTCGACGTTCAGATGTTAAAGTTAACCGCGGTTACCTCAGATTAAATTTTTTTTGTTCCGATCTACAAAGTAAGAACTTATAGTATCTTGAAGTCTTGCATTTGTATGCTTGGGTTGAGATTTAATTTTATTAATTATAGCATCCCAAGCAGATAGTAGCACCCAGCCATCTTCTCTATTGATATTAGGATGTTTTTTGATTTCAATAGCCTCGCGAATCATCCATGGAAGGAATCGGTGTTCTTTAGCGAGGATTTGTGATCTATTAAATCTCATGTAGTGACGGGGGCGATCCTGTACGTGTTCACATACTGCAGACTTCCCGGAGCGTCGATTTTTCACATCAGCTATATGTTCTTTAACGCGGGTTTTAATTGATTTTTTAGTTTGTCCTATATAAGAGAGACCACATTCACAAT